AAGTTAAAAATAATACATTGAAATTCTTGAGGAATTCTGTTTTGTTCTATTATTTTTTGGATTATTTTAATAGTGGTTTGGTCAGACCTGGTCCTCCGTACTTTAGGAGTTCGTTCGGTATTCTGTCCTCTCCTGGTTATGTTCTATTTTTGTGTTTTGTAATGGTTAAATATTAGAAGTTATTATGATGAAGTATTTAGTGGTTTAATTGGAGTGGTGTTAGAACTAGTGAATAACAATATTGTTGCTTGTTTCTAAAACATACTTCTCTGATTTTGTATAACCTTATTTTAGGCATTTTCTTATTAATTCGCCATTAATAATATTAAATAAAACAAGTTTCAATGTGTCCTTCTTCCTAGATTAAAAATCTGACCCTATAGATGCTCACAGACAGCTGGTAAATGGTATTCTAGAAAAAACCTTCAGTAGTAAGCCAGTCACAGGCGCTCGGTCCACAGCGACATTCGACGCCGAAATGTTTCATGGAAACCTAAGACTGGTAAACACTGAATCTTTTTTTTGGAATATCAGTTATCTCGGCTCTTTGTGTAGTGTCTTTCATTTCCGAAAATAATAAAGTTTTCTAGAATGTTTACCAATTTATTCTAAGTCTTCTAAATATGTGAATTTCTTTTCTTGTTTGTTAATTGTCAGTTATACTTTTACCTTATATCTATGATATGTCTATTGTGCTGCCATTCGTTGTGTTTTAGTCACAATGTTACGTGTAATATAATATATTGGAAGTTAATTGAGCAGCAAGTTAGCAATTTCAACATCCTTTTTTTCTTCATTTTTATAGAGGCGTTTAATTTCACTTAGATCTTTTATATCGTAGATCAGTGTTTATAATGTTAATACGTTGGCGTGTTAAGAGAGTACTGCGGAATTTTATCTGTTTTAGTATATGAATGATATCTTTCAAGTGATACCAATTAAATAGTTCTATTGAATAAATTAAACATATAGACAGGTTTATAAAATTCTCTTAATTTTTCAGTTAATTTTTTTATTTTATTTTTTGTTGAAAATTTTAATTTTAGCGAAGTAGTTTTGTATCTCGATAAGTCCAGGTTTTTTAACTCCGCCTACAGGATCATTGAAATACTACCTCAATGATCTTTTTGCCGGTCCTAAGCCCGGAAAAGGAGGAAGGTTCTTGGTTCAGATTAGCACTTTAGCCAAGTTAAAAAAACCTTGTCTTTTTCGGTACATGCTATTTATGACTTATTTTAAAAATTTGCGACCCTCAGCTCAACGATGTTGCTAACACATTTTATAGTGAAGAAGTTGCTTGACCAGCGGAAGGTTCTAGTGGTTTTAAAAAGATCAACAACGACCTAATCGAGAATGAAGACAACATAACGACAGTCAAATTCCAGTCAGAAGAAGAGTATTTATGAAAATATTCTGAGAAATGTCCCGTAAAATTTATTAAACTTCTAGTCAACCAATGAGAAATTAGAAATGTCTAGAAATTGTAATTAGAAATTCAAAAATGTTTACTGTAAAGTCGAGGAATGAATTAAAAAAAGTAAAAACGTTTTCTAGATTAAAATCAAAAGATCTAAACATAAATATGTAAAATTTATTTCTCATTACAATCAATTGTGCCATATAATAATTCCAAACCAAAACAATTACAGATTCTTCTATAGTATTTATATAAGCAGAATTCATACTTTTAATTCAATTAAGTCCTGATAAAATCCACAATTAGTACCACGTTTTAGTATAGAGCTGTGTGGTGATTTGAAACCATCAGTTTTGAATTTTGTATTCTGAAAATATAGTCAGCAATTGATTTTTGGCGTAAGTTGGCATTTTTTTACAAATCTACTATAGTTTTGAAATTACCTGCTCTTAAAGTATCTTGATAGATTTTTAATTTATTAAGCTTTTGTAGAAGGATCCAATAAACTGCAATAACATTAAGGCATTAAGTTACGTATTTTCTGTAAACACTGTATACTACTGTATAAATATAAATGTAAATCAAGGTTCTGAAAATACACTGACCGGCAAAAAAGTGACCACCCTGTAAATTTCCAAAAATAAAAATTCATTAGAAGTTTTATACACTGTTTCAAATGATATACCCAACATCTTTTTATTTTTAATACAAAAAGTGGCCATTATTGCGTGATTCTTTAGCATAATTTGTTTAATTAGAGGGCTACAAAAGAAAATAAGGTAATATCAAAACGAATTACAAACAACAAAAATTAAGGGTGAACTTGAACAACATTGTCTTATATCGGGTATTATGTCCTAAAACATCAATAACCGTTTGCATACGATTTAGGAGGAAAAGAAACAAATTTAAATAAAAACATGCTTTTCACGAAACTTCTTCTTTTTTTCTGGTTGGCCTGTTTGACTTATAACCCTACGATGAAGTTTATCCCAAAGATGTTCGATTATATTCAGATACGGCTCCAGGTTGACCAGAGTATTAATTCCTATTTTCCCTTAAGTAATTTATTACGATTTTTAATTCATATTCATTAAATTGATATGTTATTATCATGCATAAAGTCAAAATGGTCTCAATAAATGAACCAAATGGAACTACTGCGTGTACTGCCCGAATTTTTATTTTTGGCAATTTATAGGGTGGCCACTTTTTTTGTCGTGCAGTGTACCTTTATCTAGCATGGTTAAGCTAAATATGATGTTTTTATGGAATTAAACCACAATTATTTGTTGTGATTGTAATGAAAATCACATTTTTAATTAACTATTTGAAACCAAATTTCTTCTTCATTTGGAGCTATCACTGCAAGTCTGGGTAAAATCTCTTCTTGTAGTCTAAAATAAAACTTTTTTGAATTCAAATTTTCCTCATAGAAAAATGGTCCAATAATATTGTGTTCAAATATTCATAACCAGATATTTATTTTTCGACGATATTGGGTATAACTTTTAATAATATCCTCAGGCTTTTCTTTCGACCAAATCCTATAATTTTGAACATTTGGTTTTTTCAAAATTTTTAAGACCGTGGAATTATGAATATTAAACTGGTCTGCAATGGTCCGAGAACTTATTTTAGGATTTTCTACAACTGCTGTTAATACATTTATTTAATGTACAAGGGGAGTACGGTTGTAGAGAGAAGTTGTTATAATGGCGGAAATAACATAGCATTGTAAATTTGTTTGGTTAAATAAAAAGTTGTAAATATCAGTTGGGATATTAATTTTGGCTAAGAAAAGTTAAAGTTCTTAGCGCAATCATTACGAATTAATTAATATCCATGGTGTTCCATTTAAAATAAGCCTCATATTAGATATTGAATAATACAAAATTGAAACTAAGTTTTTAATACCCTGTAAATAAATGTTTAATAATCAATAATGGAATAAATTCATTACCCAACTATTTCGCTGTACGAAAATTTGTTATAATTACTTTAAGTCGAGAATGAGTCTTCTTTAAAAATTTTTTTTTTGCTTATAATGTAGTAGGCTGTGGTTTATTTTGTATTATTTGTTTCATTAAAATTCTTTCTGATTCGTTGTGCATTAGCAAGTAAAAGTATAAAGTATACAAATTTGTTTACAACCACATTGGACAAATATGTCAAAATGATGGGTTTAAAAATCGAGAGTAACAACTATAAATATTTTGAAATCGAAAAGAAAATTTTAAATTACGCAAAATCTATCACTCCTAGTTATAGAACATCCATATACCATTCGAAAGTGGAAAATTTTTTTAATATAATAATTCATTAATATACAGGGTGTTCCATTTAAAATAAACCTTATATTACACATTGAATAATCCAATAATGAAACTACAAATTTTGAACACCCTGTAAATAAATGTTTAATAATTAATCATGAAATACATTCGATCAATATCCAGCTATTTAGATGTATGAGTAATTTGATTAGAATTGCTTAAATAAATTAAGAATGAGTCCTCATTTAAAGTTTTACATTTTAATAAAATTCGACCTAACTCAGAACACTCTGTACATAGGTTATAGGGAAGTCTTATGAAACAACACCTAATATTTTTTATTTTATATGTGTTTAGGTTAGGTTAGGTAATAATTCATAATAAGAAAACATGAGACTTAAGACCATTTTAATATTAAAATATTATAAATTCTCAAACAAAACCTCTTTAAAAATAATTGTATTGAAGATTAGTCTATCTCCTTGTGTACTGCAAATCTAAATCTAAATAAACAAGGTCTTCCTTCTTTTTATCAGAAAAAGGAATGCGACTGGGATATTTAGATTTTAGCTGTACAGAAGTCCAGTTCTTTGTTCGGCTGAATGGTTGTCTGCTTTGTGTAATATCAAGTTCCAAAAAAGTTTCTGATAATAGATCGTACTTATAATGAATTGTGCATGCCTTTTCTTTCTGAAATCGCAACCACTTGATTTTAAGCTATTCAACGTTGTCCCCAACACAATTTACAGTACTGTTTGAATGCTTTAAATGAATAACTGGTATGGTCTAGGTTTTATCCTAGCAGCTGAAATCAATAGACACCACTCCTGAGTGTTTAAATTTGTTTATGTGCCCGAGCCCTCCCGACTGTAGAGTGCATTGAATCCGCTTCCAGGTACGAATGACCTGATTCCATAAATTTTAAGTCAATGATTTGAAATTGTATTGACGGCATAGAGCATCGCTGTGGCAACGTTTTTATTTCTGTTTTGACCTCCGCATGTGTCAGAAAAGGAAGCTACGTGGCTTACAGTTTTGGATAGGTCTAGTAGATATTTAAGCAGACATGACCCAATCTCAGAACTACCTTTGCTACCATGAATTTCATCCTAAACATAGCAATAACCGTCTCCAGTAGATCGATCATAAATTGTAAAATTGTAAACATTTAGATGGCTCTTGTAATATATCTGAGAATCACCAGCAAACGGAACGGATAGAACAGCTTCCAGATCGAATGTTATTGGTCTAAATGTATTTCCCAACGTGGCTACTGCCGTTTTTTTATCGTCTTCTTTCATATCCATCTACTGTTTTTCGGCTTTTTTATGCTTTTCATACTCTTCTCTTAAGGGATCTTTTTCTTTGGTCTGATTGAATGCATTACACACCGAACACTGATCCTTTTTTGGACGATAAAAGGCAAGAGTTGGTTCAAAATCATGAAATATACTTTGGTACACAAACTTTGAGAGCGGACTTAAACTATTAGAAGTGCAAAAGTCTTGATATAATCGGTACATGATGGAAATGTTTAAATCTGCATTTAGATAGTTTTTAGTTGAATCACGCTTGCAGTAATGCGACTCAATTCTTGGAAATGAGTTAATATGATCCTTAACTTGCTGCCGTTGTATCTCAGCAGTTGCATTGTGGGATTTGCTATTCTGTCTTTTATCATAGCCGACAAAAATTCCCTTAGTCATCATTCCTTCAACACACTTCTCGACGACTTTTTTTTACCACTAATTCTTAACTTTTGGGAATGGTATCACACATTCCCATTAACTCGGCTCATAGGGCACAGAGCCACCTTCTCTGTCGCTCATATGAGTAATTCCTGTCTGGCGCGTCCATGTCGCGGGGGTGGGCATCTCTTGCTTCAGTAGACCGGAGCTAGTAGATGGCTAAGTTCAGATAGGGACCCAGTTCCGTGGGGTATAACACGGCCCCCTTGCCCAGGGATACGGGTGAAGACCACAACGATGATTAAGGTGGAGAATATAGTATTCGGTTCAGTGAATTCAACGGAAGTGGCAACCCTGTTTCTAGGGATAGTATAGAATCAACCTGGTGAAGGGCAGCAGCGATCACCAGTACTAGAATTAGGCGTAAAGGAAATGATCCTAAACCGGCTTCTTACTAGAATACCGTAGGTGAGACTGAAACAGTTAGAGGGCTACGGTACTGCGATGCGGAAAGCAAGTAGGAAACTACCGCATTATATTCCTCAGGACATCCGTCCGTAGATTTTTTCTTGTCATGTTGGAAGAAACAAAACAAACGGCCCCTAGTCCCGGGCAGGCCTTAAATGGTCAAGGGGTGCGGTTTCAACTTGATAAGACAATTAAAATTGCTACGTGGAATGTCAGAAGCCTATTTGCAGCAGGCAAACTACAAAATCTAATTCAGGAAATGAACAGAATTAACATCGATATTCTCGGCATAAGCGAATTGCGATGGGAAGGCACAGGCATGATCAATACTACTGGTAAAACCCTTTACTACTCATGCAGTGATAGCACAGACCCTCACCACAGACATGGGGTGGGAGTTCTGATAAGCGAAAATTTGCGCTCCTCCGTGAAGAACTTTGTCCCGATCTCCGAAAGAGTCATACTTATTCAGTTGCATGGAAAAGTTAACATAAATATTATACAAGTCTACGCCCCTACAGCAGACAAGCCAGAAGAAGAACTAGAGCGATTTTATCAACAGCTAGACGAAGCATTAAAGGTGACTAAGAATCACGAAATTAACATCGTATTAGGAGACTTCAACGCAAAAGTTGGGGAAGGAGCTGTAGATCACGTAGTTGGAAAATATGGTCTTGGTCAGAGAAACGACAGAGGGGACAGATTGATACAGTACTGTCAAGACAAAGATCTAGTCATAACGAATACTTGGTATAAGTTACCACCCAGGAGGCTTTACACATGGAAGTCGCCTTTAGACCGACATCAGGGCATTATAAGGAACCAAATAGATTATGTGACAATTAATAGAAGGTACAGGAATGCTATTACTAAGGTATCTGCATTACCTAGAGCAGACATAGGATCCGACCACAATCCCTTAGTAGCAAATATCAAACTGAGGCTCGCTACACCTAAAAGAAAATACCAGAAGGCATCAGTAAACATTAGAAAACTCAAAAACAATGAAACAAATGAAGCGTACACAGAGGAAATAAACAATAGGTTCTCTAATATGGCAACTGAGAATGATGTTGAAAAGTCATGGACCACCATTGTCGTGTTTATGTTGATGATGAAATATTGAACTTATTTCATAATGCCAACACTGACCAAGAAACAAATTCAAGATAACATCGCCAACATCAACGCAGCGAGCATGAGACTTTTGTGGGTCCTTTTATTCCACTCCTCTGCATTCCCTATGCATACGGTACACTATCAGTAAAAGAAATGAACTTCGGTATAAATGCTTTATTCTCTCATTTTATTAGTAACAATAAGGATCTACATTTTAGTATTCATTGTAGTTACTGTATACAAAATAATATGTCCCTGTTGACAGGCAAGTACAAAATTCCATTAAAAAAACTTAGCTTGTGGTCTGCGGACATCTTCCGGTGCTGTCCTGGGTTATTTACAGCTCAAGATCTTCTTCGTGAGGCGTCAGTTGGTAATTTTCATTTGTTGTCTCTGGAACTGTTGTTTGTGAAACTGCTGGGTTTTAAAAGGATGGATCCATCTGGAAAACTATTACATATTTCCTTTATTTTTGGGCAACTGCTACTATAAATTATTACTGGGAACGAAACATCGTAATATCAGGACCATGCCCTTCTCCTGGGTGCGTAAAAGAGAAATTGAGGTGTAGATAACCCGCAGCATAAATTTATGAAGGGCCCCACCACCCAAGCCAATAAAATTCTAATACCCCCTGTCAGCAGTACAAAAAATCCTACATGTGACTTCTGAACTAAAAGTCAGAACCCAAATGTTTTATTTTAAAACTCCCCTTAATAACTATTAGAAACTACAATTTAATAAATAAATAAAAATAAATTAATTTAATCCCAAATATTTATAAATTAACAAATTTTAAATTAAAACATGAAACTTGAAAATAATTATTATTTAACATAACTGCTGATATATGAATTAAATAGCATTCACGGAAAATAAATACCCCAAAACATTTTCATTACCTTATTGATGCATAAAATTTACAATACAAATAAGCACAAATATAGGTCTGCAAATTCGAGTTAGCCAGTTAATAAAAATGTGAACAGAAAACTAAGCAATTTAATAAAAAAACTTACCAACTAGGAACGTATTTTCGTTACACCTACTTGGCGACTGGAATCGATAGAAAATGACTCTCAATGGGACCAGCGTGGTATTTATAACAGCAAAAGAAATTACCTGAAGGTCAGTATTAGCTGATAAGGAAGCAGAAATTTCTATCGAGACTGCCAAACTTTGAATGTTTTAAAATTACAAAAAATTAACGACTTGATAAATCATTTTGCTTCGGAATAAAATATCGTATAAGAATGACTATTTTACGGGAAATAATGTAGGGATTCAAAATGAAAATGGCAATAGTATTTTCTCAATAAATACTATTCGGGATAATGGAAATACCATTTGAAATCCGAATCGGGTCTCACTCTGTGCATTATAAAATTGAAATTGTATTATACCGGGCGGACACAAAATGTAGATGGACCAACTAACAAGTATTTTCTAAAATGAAAATAAACACGGCTAAATGAGAGGACCTCCAATGCAATGTGGGTATTTGAAAATTGATTCTAAAAAAGTAGCGGATTTGCACGCTACACACCCTCCATCTCGGAAAAAAAATTTACAAATATTGGAAATTTTTTTTAATAAAACAAATAAAGAAGATAAAGAAGACGAAGAAAATATGGAAAGAAGAAGAAAAAATAATTGAAATTAAAAGTGAAATTAACAGCCATGGAGGAAGAAAGAGAACAAAAACAAAACGGAATAATATATCGGAAGAAGATTCAAAATTCTTACATAACAGTATCCTCAGGAGATTGTAGAAAAAAAAATAAACAAAAAGAAAAAAGATTAATCACCACTAACTAGATTTAAAAGGCATTACTCATTTGCAGCACTATCAAGTGAATGAGAAAAAAAATGTAAATAGATTCACCAATAAATTATTAGTAAATACAAGAAAAAATATAGTATAGTATAAATTGCAATAATAAAAACCCAAAAACCCCAAAATATTAAATAAATATTCACTACATAAGTATATGTATTTATCAGTAACCTAACTTAATATAGCATTACCATACAATAAAAAAATATTTTCACCGTGCACTAAAGCAACACGACTCTAAAATGAAAATTTGACCATCAGCACAATGTAATGGAAAAATTCCTAGATAATATTTAAATAGGTAAGTGCTCTTCTTACTGTATTAAAAAAAACAGGCCGTCCATAGACTAAAGCCTCAGGGAAACATAAATGATACATCCAGTATCCATTTATGCGATAGAGTAGCATTCTTGCTCACTCTCAAGTGTAAATTAATGTTCCTAACAAGGATACATCAAGTTGAAGTGCCCAACGACCACTTCTTATAATAAAGACTGTCACAATCGTCACAAGTCTAAGGATTCTCTACAGATATCCTAAAATTTACTCATTCTAACTGAACTGGTAAAGGTAAGCATCTATATAAAAACTGATACCCATTATAATACCAGTACAGAATAGTGCATGAAATTTATAAATTTACCACTTATTTCTAAGCAAGTCAAAAATTGAGATAACTAACACTAAACACGTGAGAGAACAAAAACAATAATGAATTTAACAAATTAACGATTTAGAAAACCTCGCTTTGAAATCTATGTCTTGGTGAATATGTTTTGTTGTTTAAGAAAACTATAGTCTTGGTGTCCAGATGGAAAGCAAACAAAGTGGATAAAGCTCATAAATATAAGAGACAAAACCAGTATCAACAAGAAGCCAGGCGCCAGCATTTAGATGAAAATGAAAAAGTAGTAAGCAAGATTACAAGTATACAAAAAATTCGCAAGAAAAAAAATAAAGCATATTAATTCCTGAAAGGAGTGATCGTGATTACACAAGAAGAAAACTATAGCATAATGCACTTAAAATCCAAAAGAATAATACGCAAGAGGGTGTATGGTTTTAGCAAAAACCAACAAAAATGACTCCAAAACGCCATGAAATTACACTCAGAGATCTCAATCGAGTATAGCATAATAACATTTGAGTTTCAGACAGAAAGAGGGATATAATTTTACGCAAAAATACATCACAGGCCTAAGCACAGTGAAAAAAAAATATATAGAATATATATAGTGGACAAATCAACCACTAAAAATAAAGCGAGTTAAACGTAACCGCTAAAAAATCGTAAAATATATAATAAAATGGCCAAAAATGAAAAAAACTAAAGCATAATAGCATGGAAGCTATACATACATGTACTAAGCAAAGCTATTCAAGTGTAAACTGAACATCAAAGTACTAAGCGAAAATACAAGAACAAGCAACTACGAGAACAAATCAAACTAAATACAAATTTATAATTTCAAGCAAGATTGATGAAATCAAAAAAGCAAAGAGTAATTGGCAAAATGTTAATCCGCACAAAAAATTAAGTTACTGAACTTTCATCATCAGAGTTGGTAACATCTAACTTGATATCTCTCACATGAAA